AAAAAAAAAAAAAAAAAACTAAAAAAGAAAGGTAAGTTTGTGAGCTCTATGCTATGCTGGACTCCCCAAAGGGAAGAGGAAAGTTTAGAATTTCAATTCTGCCCTTGGACAAAGGTTTAATCTTGGTCTGTTGCTTGGGCTGCCTGAAATGGAGAAATTCCAACTTGGCAGGCATTGTCAACCTGAAATAATCAGAAGGATCAGAATCCAGTTTGAAAGAGTTATTGAAATGCAAAGCTGAGGACAGCCATCCGGGACACACAGAATCCAAAGGAATGGGGTCAGCGCACTGAAGCTGAAAAGTTAAGGTCTTATTTACATAGCTAGAAAGCAAAGAAATTTAACAGGAGTACAATTTTCCAAACAAGGCTGGTTTATGAGTTACAGCAATCTGATTAGTTACAGCTGCCCCCTCACCTTTTTTTTTTTTTTCCAATTTAAAGAGCATATTTAACATTCCATCCTAGATAGTAGGCTAGTCGTGAGGTCTCTGTGTAAGAGAAGAGGGAAGTTCATCTGTAATGAAGATCAATAGTTAAGAGGGAAGGGGTCTTCTCTGGCTTCCTTGTTTGTTTTTGTTTGTTTTTCAGATGGAGTTTCACTCTTGTTGCCCAGGCTGGAATGCAATGTCACGATCTTGGCTCACTGCAACCTCCATTCTCTGGCACCCTCTAGTCTTTTACATTTTACAAAACAATGTAGGAAAGAAAGGCTAAGCTATAATCAGAGAAACAAAGACAGCTGCCTGTTATGTGACTCAGGTTCGATAAAGACATTCACTTAAGGTGTAAAATAATTTAAAGTTCCAACAGCTTTGATTTTGAATTACTTTCATAGCATTAAAGCATCAAAGGGTAAGACCCAGTAGCTTTGCCTAGCATATTTTAACAGCTTTATTGACATATTTGCATACGGTATCATTCACCCATCTTTTTTTTTCTTTAACAACATAATGGGTTTATATTTAATATAGTACTTCTCATCAGGAGGATGTTACTCAGTTAATATAAAGTTTTTCTTTTTTTTTCTTTGCCAAATTCCAAATGGTCAAGCAACTGGGAAGTTTTTCACTTAATATTAAATCTCTTTTCCATGTTAATGTCTATTTTTTTTTAACATTTTTCTGTATTTCAGTATTAGATACACTGAACATATTTTTCTTTTTTTTTTTTTTTTTTTTTTTTTGGTGTTCCCTTTTTTTTTCTTTTTTTTTTTTTTAATGGCGCGATCTCGGCTCACTGCAACCTCCGCCTCCTGGGTTC